TTTTCCTATCCAGGGTTTTTAGTTATACTTGGCTCTATTGCCCTAGTCCAGTTGTGTATCTAATGACTGGAACTGCCAAGGTGTTAATTGCCTTGATGGCATATTCTCCATTGAGTTTGGATTTTAAGATCTTCTTCACTCTCATGATGTATTCACTTCTAATCTTCTTGATTTCAATGTGTTTGATGATGTCAGCTTGAAGGATACCAAGGAATTTGTAGTGATCATCTTCATTCAGATATTATTCTCAATATTCTTCATTCTTCATATTCTTCATTCTTAATATTATTTCCATAGGCATAGTGTTGAACAGTGATTCTAGCTCTCATCCTCCTTGGAATAGGCAAGCACACAATTATGCCTCACTAGGAAAATTATTATTACTGTTAGAGATTATGTGCTTTATACTTTCCAGCCAGATGTTTAGATTGGAGTTGGCATTTTTATACACCTACCAAGTCTTTTCCAAGGAACCAGAACATCTTTTTGATGTTTCAGGTTTCAGTGACTATGTAAATAAGTATTTTACAGGATGGTTTATCCCAGTGTGGACTTTTAGGTTTTCAATGTGACCACTGCTGCTATTACTTAATTCATCTGTTTTGTTATTAATTGTCATCTCTTTTACCTTTCTCACTATTATAGTCTTCTCAAGGGTTAGGGTTAGGTCTTAAGATAATATATCTAAAATATGATTATTTAAGCCTGATCATTTAAAGTTTGAATGATAACTCTGATTTGAGTTATTCTACAATCCACTGTTTATTTCCTTGACTATCTATGGGTACCCTTAGGAATCATCTCTGAAACAAAATTCAGATGCATCAATTCCCTTTCTCTCTCATAATCTCAAAATTCAACTTTCATTTCCATACAATATTAGAAGGGAAATCCTTAATCTACATTTTGACAAATTACACTTTTTTCCAAACTTAAAGTAGGCTTTAAAACATGTGCATCTCATTTGCAGTTATAAAAATATATACTGTTGTGAAAGAAACACTGCCAGATACAATGGTCACATTTTAACATTTATGGTGTATTATAGAAGATACTACAATCTGAAATATTTCTAACTGAAAACTACTACAAAAAATATTTTGGCACCAGCTGTCTGTAATACAAGATCTAAAAAGATTTATAAGGCAGGAAATAAGTTCCCAGTGTGCACATGCACAGAATTGCCAGAAGGAGCTTCCGGTTTGGGCTTCTTCAGCGACAGACCGAAGTCTGCAATCATGTGCAGTTTCAATCCGCCCTGAGCCGGCTGGTTTCAGGGCTAAGCCACTCCATAGAGGTGGTGAAGAGGGGGGAGACTGCCACCAGGATCGAGGAGAGTTGCATCTCTCCTCCCCAGCTGGCCTTATGCACCCTTTCCCAAAGGCGGTTGCAGCAGTGGTCAGAAATGGCCACCTCAAAGAACTTGACTGGAAAAGAATGTGCAGGAGGAAGATAAGAAGAGAAAGTTTTGGCTGACCGGGTCGAACTGGAAAAACAACAATACAATGTACCCTGGAATTTGAATTATAAAGAACAACATTGTTCCCAAAGAAGACTTTGAAGCACTGAATGAGAGAGGGAAGGGAAAGGATTTGTTTTTTTTTCTTTTCTTCCCTATATTGACAACTAAGAGACTTAAGCAAGAAACCATCAAAAATCCACTTTGTCATTAACAGGTATTTAAGCTGAAAATAAAATGTCAAAGGGATAATAAAGATTTCTGGATTCTCAAAAACTTTTAAAAGAAGGAAAAAAACAAAAGGGTGGGATCTGGAAAAATGGAGGGGACCACCTGGAAGTGAAAGGAATTAACAGTGAAACTTTAACAAGATTCCTAAAAGATACATTTTAACTGAAACTTTGTAACAAGATAAGAGAACCCCAGGAAGAGAAAGTGGAAAAAAGAAGCAAGAAGAAACAGCTTTGGGTTATTTGGATTACTTGGTGATTTTTGGATTTTTGGCTATCAGATCTAAAGGACTAAAATTAATTGGGTGGTTGTTTAAAAGTTTTTAAAATGGTATCACTCTTGGAAGAATTGAGAATGAAACTTAAAAAACAGAAAGAAGATGCACAAGAAGGAAGAGGTTCTTTTGGCTTCGTGTTTCAATTTTTAGAAATGGAGATCCTGAACTATAAGAACAACAAGCAATGCCTGTAGAATAAGAAGGGTGGGACAAAGAATAAGCCATCTTCAATGACCAAGTATTTCTATGTGGGGAAAAGAAAGGAAAGGGGGGAAAGAGAGTGAAAAATTTAAGATCTGAAAAAACAACTAAAAAAAGAATAGTTTGAAAAGTAATTACAACATTAGGAAGAAACAGAAGAGAGGATTACAGAAGAGATAATCAGAATTAGAGAGAGAAGGCGTCAAAAAGAGAAGGGAGAAGAAGAGGGAGAAGAGGGAAAGGAAAAGAAATTATAAAGGACAGAAACAGAACATAGAGAAACAGGGAAAACATACAAGACAGAGAGATAATGGGTGAAAACTTAATTGAAAGGGGGATTCTGCAAGGGTACATAAGATAGTATTGTTATATTAGAAATAGAAATGAACTTTGAAAATATGAAACAAGTGTGATTAAAATGGTAGATAAAATATCCATTGTAATGTAGTGGAATGTTTAATAAATAAATGAAATAAAGAGAATGGGAGAATGAAATTAGGAAAGGAGGGGAACATTTTAATTATTATAAATGTGTTATAAAAATTTAAGTGAAGAGGAATATGAAAGAAACATGAAAAAATTATGGAAATATTATGTGTTCCTAGAAGTACGATATCCTATTGAAAAGAAATGTTAAAGATATCAAAGATTATAACTAACATTAATGATAGAGCTGAATTGGAATAGAATAAGTATTTTATTTATTATTGTTATACATATATTTTCTCTTTAAGAACTTATTTTAAGAATGTACCAAGCAGAATTTGACTGGAAGTTATGTGTTATATTGAATGTTATAATTGTAAAAGCATAAATTGAAGTTTAAATAAGAGCTGAATGGATAAAAATTAAAAGATACAAAGGTGTCATACTCCAATTAGTAACTACAGGGAAAAATTTTGTTTAATGAGAAAAGAAAAAAAAATATGAAATTGAAACAGGACAGACAAAAGTATAAATATGATGACTAGAAAGGTATTGAAACTTAGAAAAAGATATATATAATTGAATTTAGAAAGGAATGAGATAATTAAAAGTAAGAGAAAACTAAGAGAAAACTAAGGGAAGGGAAACATTATTGAGAAAATGTTAAAATAGTAATAAGATATGAAATAGAACACAAAGGTGAATATGAAATTGAATTTGTGTCTGTATGGAGAAGTGATAAGCTGGGACCACGCTATTCTCAAAAAAAAAAAAAGAAATTTTACTTGTATTATGTTTTGTGAAAACCCAAATAAAATTTTTATAATTAAAAAAATATATTTTGGCACCAGCTGTCTGTAATACAAGATCTAAAAAGATTTATAAGGCAGGAAATATTTGAGACAACATTTCACAAAAATTATTGGGAGCTGGAGGGAAGAGGCAGCCTACACTTGCTGTAACTTGGTGAACTATTTATTATTCCCAAGGTTGAATAAATCAGATTCATGCTATGAAAACCATTTAGTTTTCATCTTAATACAAATGCAGTAAACTCTTATTCTGATTATGATCTAACAAAGTATACATTTATCCATAAACATAAGCACATAGGGTATTCTGGTCATTTGCTATTTAATGGTTTTACAGAAAAATAAACTTTAAAGATAAGGATAATCAATAAATTTTAATGGGGAAGCTACTAATGTGCACTTGTCTCCTTAAGTATATTAAAAATTTAATATACATTTGGATTCCAGTTACAATTTAATACAAACACAAAACTGACATGTTCATTTCAATGTAAATTAATGCCCTTCCTTATCCATCCTTATCATTCATACTTATTTTTTATTATCTGATTTTATTTTTCAAAAAGGCTGTTCAATAATCTCTTTTGTGCAAAACACACCTTGATCAGTAGTCTGATGGGTAAACCTTGTCCTGTATTTCTAACTTAACTGATGAAGGAATAAAAGACATAATGAGAAAGAGGAAGCCTGTAATTAGCTATCCTGGATAATGACTTTTTGCTTCAAAATTCTAAAATTCTGAATGAATTTGGGGAGGAATAACAAAGGAGAAAGGATTAAGACTGCCCTTCAGTCTACCCACTTTCCCTGGGACTTAGTTTATTATCTGCTTTGAGAGGATATTGAATGGCAACTACAAATCACAGCAAAGTGATAAATCTATTATATAACGATACAGGCTGAGTCTTTGAGATGGAAACATATTTTTACAGGCACAGAGTGTAGAGACATCTGTTTCTAATTGGAAGTTAGTTGTATAACAATCACTGATGTCTGTGCCCAGAGGTCACTTAACTTTTTAACTGTATGTTACTGCCTGATCAAGAATTCAAATGTTGCAATTCATAAAGTTCTGTCATTTTTGTTATATTATAGATAGGAGCAGAGCCAATGTCCTTGTTGGCACACTTCCACCACTATAAAAAAAATAACATGTCAAAGAATCCTCTTCAATTTTTGTGAGAGAAAAAGACATAACTTTTAATATTTTCTATCATGTCCTATCCTCTGCCATGCTATTAAATCTAAGAAAGTTTGAATACAAAACTTCCTTTTATTTCTTGTGCAGTTTTTAGGATTAAGCAGGAGCAGCACAAGGACACAATGTAGCAAACATGATTCAACTCAACTTATTCAGAAAACATTTTGGAATATGCACCTTTTATTAACTGTAAATTGTTTCTTCCTCTCCTCCGTCTACTAACTTCACTTTCTAAAAACCAAATTATATAATCAACTGTTATATATGAACCTTCTTGCACCACTGTTAAATATTGCTGCAATGGAAAATACTGGGTAAAATAAGAACTAGTAAAACTTTTCTCTTTTGTCATTTTTAACAAAAATGAAGATGTTGTAATTTTTAAGTACTTACGATAAGGAGGATCCATATAACCATTCCTGGGATCCATGGCAAAGACCGTCCCACGATAAGGTACTGAAGGCTCAGGAAGGTATGATACAGATCCATGAATCTCCTTTTTGATTAAAGAAGCCCTTTCTTCACTAGATGTGGAAGGTTCTTCACTGACTTTACTGAGGCCTTGTCCAGTTTGCATTGTAATTGCGTTTCTTCTCTCTCTCTGGTAGGTTTGTCCAGGACTTTCATCCTCTAGGGAGGAAAAGACAAATTGGGAAAGAAAGAAGTGAAACTTTTAGCCCAGCTATGGCATTCAATCAAAGTTTTCTTTGCAGGTTTTTCCAGCCCTCTAGCATGGTATGCTGCCTTTAAAGAAGCAAGCATATGTGTGGTTATGAAAAAAAGTTTCCTAAAAAAAAGTATGAGGAGAAGGAGCAAAGGAATATAAACCATTAAGTGCAAGTTGGATTTGCACTGGAGAGCATCATCAAACCATTCTTTAATGCATTTACCAGAGAGGTCATTAATCATACAGAAATACTGACTGGCTCCCCCCACATCATCTTTCTGGGACAAGAAGGCTTAGAAGTTTTTTTGGGGGGGAAACAATTTGTCACAAATCACAGAAAACCACTGCTAGCAGAAACTAAATCAAGCTTAGCTACCTACTGTGCTTTATACTTCCCAGCATGGTCCTTCATACCCAAAAAGGAGAGATTGTTGGAACGAGAAAGTTCCTTGCCATTAAAGAAAAATATAGTTATTATATTTTTTCAAAAAAAATGAGGAACTTCTAATGAATGTTGATTGAACATATGAAACCACATGATACAGAATGTGGGGGCAGAAAATTCACATAGTCAGCATTTACTACTTGAAAAGTTATCTCAATATGTTCCCCAATCCAGAACATAAAACATGGTTGGCAAGCATGTAGATCCAATCCAATCAATATTCTTTTTCTACAAACATTGTAACTTTATATTCTCCAATATCACATCTGTCTTAGTCCATGCAAAACAAGAGAAAGCAGCAGATTTAACAATTTATACTACAATTCATAGTAGAATGGTTCTGAAAGACCCCAAGTATAACTCAATTAGAAAATGGGGTATGTTTTCCCCACCTAAGAGAAGAAAACTGCTTGGCGTATTCTATTTCTCTTTCAGTGGCAGCACATCTCATTGCAACACTTAAAAGAAACAAGATTAATACAGGTGGCTTGTTTTCATCCTGACATTTCAAAATGCTAGCAAACTCTCTAAAAATGCTTCTTAGATATCTGCAATGAAGATGTTGACTTTAACAAAAGGCAGTTCCTATTTCATATACTTGAAAATATATTAAAAATAGTTTAAATACTCATCTAAAATATAAATAAGTAAATTATTTATAAATATAATATATCAAATCTGGGAATTATTGTTGCTTACAATCCCTAGATCAGTGAATATCCATAACATATGTTTATACAACTTTCTTATACTGTTGCTACTACATAATGTATAAAATTACCTATATTCCATTTAGTTACTGTAAATAAGGAAGATTAACCTATTAAATTCCAAGAAATAAATATGGCTACTTACTGTTTAAAAGTTATAAAACACATTAAGGAAAATGTTTAGGCACTATTAATGAAACAGTAACAATTAGATTAATAAAACATTATTGATAGTTGGGGAAGATATAATTTGTGTCATAATTTTGAAAAAGAACCACCAGAGTGGTTTTTACTTTTTTAAAAAGTTTTAATAGATTTAAAACTATTTCAGATGTGTTGCATGTTTGGAATACCTAATATAAACTTTCAAACATTTGAAACTTTGATGTTACATTCATTAAAATAAGCATTTTTTCATTCGCCAAATGCCATTAGTTTTCAAGAAGACTGAAATGTGTTTAAGCATTAACTCTCTTAGATTGAAAAACTGGTCCTGAAAAGTACAAGTAAAATCAAATAAATCTAAGACTTTTTTCTTTATTTGATACATCCAAGAACCTTTTGATAAATAATAAAATTACAATGAAATATCTAATATGACTGCATTAACCCTACTGTCCAATTTAAAACTTTTTCATACTGTATTTTTGAAGCTTATCCAAAATTTTCACAAGCAAGATCTATTTTCCTTTGGAGATGAAGATAAATGGAGAGAATTCTATAATATTGAGAAAGTTTGCACATACTTTAATCAGGCAAAATTAGGTTAAAACTCTGTCCTAAGTGATCTTAAATGTTTAACTTAAATATGCTACAAAGGTTATGGAGTTGAGTTATGCTTAACCCTTCCTCAATTTATCTCATAGTATATATAACATATAGGTAAACCATTACTTTGTACTGATCTCATCCTATTCAAACAACTAACATTTACTAAGAACTGCAGGAGTGAAGTAAATTTCAAAATAAACTGCAAGGAGATGCTTCATTTTATTTATGTAGACATATTAAATATTTCAAAAGTTTCAGCTTTTCTTTTTGTTGTCCCTCATTGTGATTAGATCTGAATTACTTAATCAAAAGATTTATACAGAAGTGCTATACAACTTGAAGCTTCTACAGTCTAATGGGGGGAGACACAGGGTATTTGATGATTACAAAAACATAAAGAAATTCATGTCTCTCTTTCTTTCATAGAAATTAAAAACTGCTGGTCAAAATAACCATTTTTCCTGCCCTTTTGTGGCATTTTTGCATTAATGAGAAATTCTGATGGGCTAATCTTTAGTAAGAGTTTGTTTCATGTCCTGCACTGCAAGAACTCCTTTTCAAAGGGGCAAATGAAGAACTTGACAGTGCACGCACTCCAGAATACAAATAGCCAAGTGATTTGAAATAGCACTCTCTACACAGAAAGGAAAACTTTTGGGGCAATAATTCTACCAGCTCTTATAACTGCAGTAAAACCACTTCAGTGAGCCAAATAGTGAAAGCTGCCTAATCTTGTTCTGTTTCAGCTGAATTGTTCAATAAAATTTAAGAGTCTCTGCAGACAAGCTGTGCCAGGCCAAATTATTGTCAGAAACAGACAGTCCACCATGGCAACAAGTGGGTGTCTATAGCAAAAATGTAAGCAAACAAGCTTCTTCTCCAGCAGCATCTGCCAATTGGGTCTTAAAGCCAGAATTGTTATACTTATCTATTTTAAAAGTGCTACATCTATTTTGTGTCTATTTTGCTTCCCTCTGCCAAAGGGAGAGAAAAAATAGCAAATCAAATGCCAGCTGATAGCCACATTAGTTTCAGTTATGACTGTTTCGTACATTTCTTCAGTTTTATTGTCGCACCAGAAACAGAATGCATTTCTAGCACTCTATTTGTAAGTATTAAACTGAAGAACATTCACTCATTTAAAACTATTTCTAATTCCAAATAGCATGAAACATACATTTGAAAGGGACACTTGTTCCTCCAATACAAATGGATTGAAAGAAGAATATTCTGTGCACGTGCAAAATGTTTTCCCAAACCTAATATCTGAATCTAGGGCAAGTCTTCCATATCAGAGCTGTAGATTCCAAATACATTGGAGCATGATGAACATGTCTCATTTTTTAAGCTATTATTTTAATGGCAAAATATACCAGGACACAATCTGACCTCTACATAACTCTCAATTGTATATCTTGATTATATGCAATGATATAAACAGAACCAAAGATAGAATTTATTTAGCTATATTTATTCCCCAAAATTTTAGCCCATCAAAATATATCATTATAAATATTCACGTTGATCAGCTCACTTTGAAATTTAGAAAAACACACACACACACAAATAATGGGTATGTCCATATGTTAAACTTAGTTCAAAGAACTTTTCTCTTCTTTTCAGTGGCTATAAGAATACGTATTTCAAAAGATAAATAAAATACAATTTTTTAACTTTGAAAAGTATCTTCAAATATTTAGTTGAAAGAGAAAAATATTATTAGGATACTTCAAAAATTTTAAATTTTAGATTGCATTTGTCTTTATTGATGTTACTATGTTATAAGCAATTAAGGAAAATCCGTTAGTTGTGATTCTTATAAGACACCCAAAATATTAAAGTCAGGCAAGGTACTTACAACTCAATCGAAAGTCTCTTTCCTTGCTTTCTGGAAGCTCTTCTCTTGACTGAAATTCTCTAGCTAGTGCTTTCATAGCTCCCTCTCACTTTCTGCTTCTAGTCCCCCTCCCAACCCCCCCCTTACAGTATTTCCCTCCTTCTCTCACAGAGGCTGTGCTTCTCCCATTAGAGGAATTAAAATTGGTTGGTGCCATGCTAAATTTAACAAGCTCATTAGTATTCTTCCGGTGTGCTTGGTAGTGAACTCTCCCTATTCAAACAGTTCTCTCAAGCTGAGGGGTCAGGCGGCTAATCATTAAATCAAACTAATGTCACCCTATCACAATCGGCTAAGAGAAGGAGGGTTTATTATTTCAGTTTATGCTAAATAAACGGTTTTACTAATGGTGTTCAAGCAAGGTCAACAGCATCTTCAATTATAAGGCAAACTTAACACAAGTTGTTCTAAACCAAAGTGCTCTGTATTGACTTAAGCATGAGCTGTGCTCTGCTTGTACAGGAATGCATATTGCACATTTTTCCTTCGTTGTCATCTTCTTTTTAAGCAAAGGGTAATCTTTTCTTTGCCAGAATTGGTGACTTGCGTAGAGATTGCTCATTCACCTCTCCCCAATGAGCAAACTGCTCAGCTCAATTCACTCCACACAAAGGCTGAAGACCAGACCTCAATGGACCGAGTGAAACATGTTCAAAACTAGGCTCTCTATTGTGACTGAAATTCTTAACATCTTTTCAAAAAGCGGAGAATGCCTTGAGGCTAAAGGAAGAAACAGGCTAATGGTGAATTGGGAATACTGAGCAAATTTCAGAGCCCCTTCCTCCTAGCTTTTGAGGTTGAAAGCAAGCTCTATCCTTTCATGTTTCAAAGTCCTTTTTCCTCCCGCAGTGTCACAGAAGGATTTGAAAAGAAGGTAATTGTGCTCACAGTCTCCCTGATCAGAGCTTACATCCTATTTCTGGTATTTTGGAATACTTCTTGCAATAATGGTGCATATAGCTCAATCCCTTAACCAGCCTGCACTCAGCAATTGCTCATTAAGTGAACAATTGCTGGTATAAAATGCCTTTTATGTTCAAGGTCTGGATATAAGATAAGTATTCTAGTACTCAAAATTTCGTTTACTAAGGGAACTTGCCATCATTAAATTACCAAAATGGAGCCAAGCAATGGTACTCT